CCTTTCGACAAGATCGTTTAACGTTATGATAACCTTACCGTATTATTTGTGTCCTTAGTCAAAATAATAATGAAGCTACAAACAATTCTAGAATAACCACTATATGTATTCATAATGTTTTCACAATCGAGATTTATAACACTCGATACACTCATAGGTCTACATACATATATTATAAGAATGGGTTACATGATATAATAAAATTGTCTTTTATTAATGAAATAACATGATACATAGAGTCAATTTACAATATGTGATTGGCTCTAGTAAACCTACTTTAACAATATAGAATATAAAAAGCATATTAAAAAGTTTGTAATTATATTAAGTAAAATTATTATTGATAAATATTAAGTTTTAATATTATTTTGTGAAAAAGAACTACTACAAATATAACGACCTCTTACAAAAATATATGCATATAAAGTACTGATGTGTTAAAAAAGAATAGAATAATGAATATAAAAATCTTAAATTAATTTAAATTTTGATATATAAGTCTCCTCGTATGATTTCTAGCTCTACCTTTACACCTCCATAAATATGAAAGTAAGGAATAACATACAAAGACATTTCCAGACAAACAATCGGCGCTTTCCGTCTTCTTAAATAGACTTTCTTTGCAGTCGAAGAAACATATTCGCACTCCCAAAATAGGCTTCCTTTAAAGAGAGTCAAATTTTGTTTGCTTTAAACAAACCGAAATCACAGAGGTGTACCATTCCGTACCACCAAACGAAGCCTCAAATTCAGTCGCCAACCTGCAGATGAATGTTGAAAAACAAGCTAAAGTGATGTCTCAAGAGTCTTCTACTCTTTTTTTAATTAAAAAAATGACCACCCACCCAACTATGCCAAACTGGTTAAGTCAGGTCTTGACTCAAAATCCTGTAATTTTATTTGACTTGTATTATTGTATGTTGAAATACTTTCACTGGTTGGTCACACAAGATAATGACTCCCCACCCATTATCAGTCACCCACCAATTACATAACATCTTTGCGTATAAAAGAAATGGTCAATAAGAGGTAATAATTGTTTCCTTGTAGATCTTTGGCCGATTAGACTTCAGAGGTGAGCCAACTAGCTAACTTATCCATCCTTAATTTTGATTAGATGAACCAGCCTCTTGCCATGGCTGAGCTTTAGTAGTCTAATCACCTCGAACCGTGAGCTTTAGATATAAAAAAGTTTAACCGTCAAGGTAGAAAAATTAAGCAAAAGATCAAAAATTAGTCACTGATATTTTCAAAGTCCTAACCAATCGGGTTCTACCGAAACTCTCACATTTAACAGGTACATTTCCCCTGACTTATGATTTTCCTTACCAACCATTATCTTTATTAGACATTTACTAGACTTTAATATGACTTGAAATGAAAAAGTAAATATATAAATATGATATATCTAATCACCTCAGAGCTCAGATATTCTATATTTAAAGTTCTCGTCGTTCGACCACTTATTACTTAGTTGATTATGCTGTCTTTTCTCAGTTTCAGAAGATAATGACCACTCTGGTAGAATGCTTAAAACTTCAATAGGCTAACCCTAGACTTTCTCATATGTGTTCTGATATAGGTTTAGGTTTAAACCTCTACCATAGGATTATAGTTAATTATAGCTTGGAAAGTTATGTCTAATTTGCTTTTCTCTTTAATGACGACTGCCTTACTCACAAACTACGTAATTAAATACTAAATAAATTTTATATTCTCTTCAACAGGCGCAATAATCCAAGAACCAAAAATTGTGGAAAATAGTTACCGCAACTAGAATCAATTCAAATATTAATGGTAGTTCGCATGTCACTTTAATGTGTACTGAATGGTTTTTAAGCCATAATTATTCAGTTTACTGTTTGGATGCTCATCATTAATCCTAGTGGGATGTTTTGATGCGACATAAATATAGGGTTTACGGTATAATTAATTAAGATGATTAAAGTAATATATTATTTGGTGTCGGTTAATATTAAAAGGAAAAAAAATTAAGCAAAGTTTTAGTTCTTAATAAATCTATAAAGTCACGCAGTGAGATGTACATTTTTGAAACTTTTGGAAATAATCCATAAGAGAGAGTCGAAGTAAATCTATCAAATTAATCTCCAATTATTTATTAACAGTTTATTTTAGCTTCAAGTCAGTTCCAATGCATATATTATACACAAAAAAAGTGTAGTTAATACGCATCTAAAATTTTTTAATGCGTGGATATAAAATATGTATCGAGATCACTGACTTTTGATTATTGGATTTGTAAAATTAACGATAAAATATATACCTTTAATCCATAATCCATATCTTAAAACTTTCAGGACGTTCTCTTTATATATATGGTAGAAACTGTGAACAGAAAATCCTTTTAGGAAAGGAAAAACCTACAACATTGTGCATAGAATAAATAAGTAGCACAAAAGAATATTATCAATATGGAAGGACTGAAATGTGAAAATCTTCTCTATGGTCGGTGACGTGATCATGAGTTCACAACTACTACTCTCGTGGCCGATCCCAAACCGAACAAAATCCTTACTCCACCTGTTTTATACCGATAAAATTTCTCAGTGTTGATGGCGTGCAAACTGTCGTCTTAGCATATAATCCAAGTGCACTCTTATATACCAAACCTTCTACGTGGTTGGTTCTACATTAATTCGATTGTTGGGAGATCATAAGCAGGCAGCGTGTTGGTACAATGGTGAGCTACACGTTTATTTCATACACGTATCCTTATTAGCTAGTTTTGTTTCTCATCAATTCCCTTCCTTATGGGGAAAGTATATTTGTATAACTTTTTTACATTATTATATGCAACACTGCAAAAATAAACTAAACATAAAAAAATTACCAGTTTTAGTGCATCCAGCAAGTTATATAATGTTCACCACTTCATCTTTGACACCTTGCATGCATGCAGCTGATTAATAAGCACAGTAACAAGATTTCAGTAGCAATTATTTGATGATTTAAAGATTGTGTATTAGAAGCTTTTAGGAGGGTGAAAAGTTTACAACCAAGAAATTAAAAAAAAAAAAAAAAAAAAAAAAAAAATCCTGATCATGAAATCTAAACATGAGCTGTTGAAAGAAAAGGACCCACCTTCATCTACACACACCTAATCCAAGAGATACTAGTCAAAGACCAACAAATTAGATTATTAACTACTCCCTTCAACCTATTTGTTATTTATATATATGATAATCTAATGTGATGCTATAAAATTATCTATGGAATGATGATTTTGAAGGAAGTTCATGCATCATAAGGTCGTGGTTTTGAATGAACTTTGACGTGGAGATCTCCTAGGCAGGACAGTTGTTACTTCACCACGTTCAGTGTTATCCTAAAACAAACTAACAACGGTTTGAAATAAAACTTGTACGTACTAAATATTGGGAAAACTATGATCCGTTGGATGAAGGTGGCAAAAGCACAATCAACGGTCAAAACTTAAGTTATTTGACCAACCAGATAACCTAGTATGGGATCCGCGAATGGAAATATCTAGAACCAATTATACGTGGCAGAAATGTGTTATTGTGCGTATTAATATACTTTTGGTATGTTTCTTGCAGATGCACACGCATTAGTACAAAATTGGGCAAGGGTACAGCCACAGTTACTTGATAAAATTATGTTAAAACCATGATTTTATTAAAAAAACTGACTTATATTAAATATATCGTCAGGAATTTTCACCAATATTATAAGATGAATATAACAAGCTTTAATATGTATTTTTCTTAATATTTAGGTGAATTTTTTTTTCTTTCGCAAGTTTAATTTTGAGATGGAAAATGCGGGAGCATAAATGTGAGTTTCCTCAAAGAATACTTTAAAAAAATATTTTTGTAATGTAAAATGTACTTATTGATAACTTATGTTATTTGGTTAATGATTATAAACTTAGAAGGTAAGTAGATCTCTGTCAAGTTAAGAATGTCATAGTTTCTTCTCAAGTGTAACCTGGTATTATTTGTGATACACGAAAGGAATCACCTCCACACATCAAGCTAATTAATTAATAGGAATTTTGAGAAAGATTTAATAACTATGTTAATATAATTTTTATTGCCGAGTTTAATAGCTAGGCCAGACCTTTTACTGCAAGTACTTGATATACAATTGATTCATGGTAATTGATTTCAGAAGTCTAGCATTAATGATTGTGAATTTCTGATTCATATATTTCCACATTTTGCATCCAAGATGAACAGCTTCTCTTTTACTAGTCTCTCTTCATAAATATATGTGGCTTTCTAATCACGGCAGAGAAAATCCATTTTTTTTCATTCAATCAAATCGTCTTGCCTGTAAAGAATTTCTCAGCTGTAGATAAGTGATGACAAAGTTTTATTAGCACTCAAAATTAAATTCATGACTGCATTGGAAGTCGGTTAAAATTTTCTTAATGAATCACTTAATTTCTGCAAACAAAATGATGGTAACATTAGGTGGTCATCTACATTATATTGTTTTAGTCAAAAATGAAATCAAACCCTGATAAGATCTAGTTTTCTCCAAATATATTTAAAAATAAAAAAATAAAAAAAATAAATCTGATTGATGCAAACTAAAGACTCTTAGCTATGAGAATCAACACCTTATTATTTTCTACTTCAATAACGACACGTAAACGTGGTGATGACGAAATGGGTGATGGAATGGTTGAGTAAGAGTGCAAAGAGGGGTGGGGTTGTGTAGGAAACTGGGAAAAAAAAATTTAGATGCTTAACTGTAGGCATGTCTTTGGGCCACCCATCATTTCCTTACACTTATTTTGTGTATTTACATACACCAGAACAGCCCATTTAGTTCCCAAGTCACTTTCACAAACCGATGGTGGGACCTGGAATCATCTGAGCTATCTCTCTCTGCAAATATACATGCGTGTGGCATATTTATATTTGTATATATTATTATAATAATAAGTGTGGGAAAGGTGAGGACTTTATATAAAGGTGGGTGTGGTGTGGGGCTTTTGAGTCTTTACAAGTAGTAGTGGTGAGACTAATTAAGTTGCATTAGTGATGGGAAGACAACCTTGCTGCGACAAACTTGGAGTGAAAAAAGGGCCATGGACAGCTGAGGAGGACAAGAAACTCATCAACTTTATTCTCACCAATGGTCAGTGCTGTTGGCGAGCCGTCCCTAAACTTGCTGGCCTCCGTCGCTGCGGCAAAAGTTGCCGGCTTCGTTGGACTAATTATCTTCGGCCAGACTTGAAGAGAGGTCTTCTCACTGAGGCTGAAGAACAATTAGTTATTGATCTTCATGCTCGTCTTGGCAATAGGTAACACACTATTTTCTGTGGACGTACGTTGTTCTTAACTCGATCATCATCCCATAAATTACGTGTTGTCCAAAGAATTTTATATATTGATCATGATTTTATATATTAATGGCGTTCGGTACATCCATGGGCATGGTAATTTTTTCTACTATAACACGATAAAGTATTTTAATAAATAGCTAGTAGTTTTCATTATTCTTATTCATTGTCAGCTATCATCATTATGCTGAAGAAAATAATGCATTTTGAATATAAAAGAATTAATCAAAGCCTTTGTAAAAGTTACACCTAATTACTTCTCAAATATATATATATATATATATATAATATAGAATTAAATGAACTTAACGTTATTATACTTTGGCTTATGTTTTTTACATTATTTTTAGCTCTTTCTTTAATTTACTCATTTCCTTACTTGCAAGGAAATGTAAAGGTAGCTCGCGCATGCTGTAAGGGGTCCTCATAGTCATGAATAAAAGGTTTCATGCATTATCTTCTTTGTTGATTAGCCCCATACATAGAATTTTTATATTAAAGAGCTTTCTCTTTTTGTTACAAGCAAACAGAAAGTAGGTACTCCTCTCAAATTTTTCAATAATATAACTTTTCTTCTTGTAATGGGTTTTACCTTTTAAATAAAGGGTTTGGTAACATTCTTATGACTTTCTTTATTTTCTCAACAGGTGGTCCAAGATTGCAGCTAGGTTGCCAGGAAGAACTGATAATGAGATTAAGAATCATTGGAACACCCATATCAAGAAAAAGCTCCTTAAAATGGGAATTGATCCAGTCACTCATGAGCCCTTCCACAAAGAATCTAAGGCTGAACAAATTTCCTCTCATGCTGATGATAATTTGCCACAACCTGGAAATCATCAGTTAATGCTTGAAACTGATGGTGCCAACAACATGGAAGATAACTCAAGCTCACAAACTGAAAATTCTTCAAGTGATGATCCGCGTTTGCTTGAAAGTATTTGCAACGATGATTCGTTATTAAACAGCTTGTGGATGGATGAACCTCCCTTTGTTGATGGCACATCCTGGAATAATCAACCTCCTCCTCAAAATATCAGTAACATGAGCTTGCCATCTTGGGAGGATAACTGTTCGTGGTTATTGGATTGTCAGGATTTTGGAATTCATGATTTTGGAATCGATTGTTTCAGTGACATTGAATTTAACACACTCACCACGTTGGAGATGGGAGAAAGTAAACATTAGCAGTAGCATTAAGGAAAAGATTAAGCTTGAAAAGTTAATGCACATGTTACGAAGTACCATGTCTAGTTCATTTTTTGGGTTCTCAGTGTTGATTTTATTTTAAGAGGTACTTTCTCACCAACCGAATCAAATGATACCAACCTTGCATATCCCTACAATTTTATATTATATCTTGGTGCCTTACATGTGTTGTAATTTTCTGTATAAAAAAGAGATACATTGGACAATATTATCAATGTGTGTAGTGGGTTTTGCAAACATGCATCAAACCATTTGTACATATTCTATTTATATTCCAAATAATAAAGAAGTTATTTTTATTTTAGTTCGGGTAATCACACTCTTCATTATTGTTCCTTTTCAAGAACTTGCCAATTGTAATCATTCGGAAAAAAATTGCATTTCAGCAGACTGTCCGCACTAATTTATTTGCATTTTAAGCAAACCCTAATTAATCATGCTACCTCTATCTCAACCCGATATTAGTGATATATTTGGCCATTAACTGTAGTTCTTAGTGCTGCCAATCATAAGATTCTAAAAGCACCATTATTCAATTCGATTACTACTACATAACTGATATCACCATAGGTCCATTTCTTAATGGAATTTATGGCCTAACTAAAGTGTTGAAACTGGATTGAGGGTTGCCTCATCTTCTGTGTATTTTTACCATTTTTTTATGTAATTCTTTTAATATGAAATATTCGAATAGATAAAACTATTATACAGTAATAAATATTATATGATATATGTGGAAATCCAATTTCATCACAAAGCAAACCTCACTTCTTCATATAAGTACTAGGGTAGACCAATTAATTAGTTGACACTTCAACAATGAATACAAAATTACAATAGATAATGCAGATAATATACCTTAAAATATAATTAATCTAGAATGTGAGAACATACTAATTTAATCCTAATTATCTCAAACATTAAGGCTGAAAACAGTACTAATTATTTGTCAAGATAAGCTTAATGTAGAAGCAGTTGATGTGTTCATTAAAGAAGTTAGACCAGATTCTGACTTAATTTTGATTAGAGAAATTAACTTGAACAGATGTAGTTATCAAGGTTTAGAGGCTGAAAATAAAGAGATGATTTGAATTATATGTTTTTTTAACTTGAATAAATTTGAACCTGAAATAAATATTGAATATCATTATTACACAAATAAAATTATATCATCCCGACGAGTGATTTACAAAATATTAATTATTATCCGGTTATTACGATCATGATATGTGGTCTTGGGTCAATATGAATTTCTTAAAAGACAAGTCAAATCTGATATTCACAAATAAGATTACTTATGGAGGCAGATAAACTGAATACAATTTTCATTAACTTCGATATATTATTATTATAAGGTAATAAAATATGCTACTGTGATTTTTGTTTCTCTATCACACAATTAATAAGGTGGTTTGATTAATAACTAACGGCATTGCAGTTTCCTGTGTTGAAGACTAAGGCATAGTAATCTACACAAATTACACGAAAAGTATCCAAAGCAAGGGAAAGGAGCTGGAAATGGTCCCCAGCTTAGAATGAATGTGAAGGCAAAGAAAGAAGTGATAAGTGACCAAAATGATAAAAACAAGGCAGACCCTACAAATAAGATTCTAAATCCACATAAATTTCGGTTTGTACATGGTGGCCCCAAAGGAAAAGGAAAGAAATTAATAGTCACATAGTGGAATGTTAAATCATCATTTGGTACTGGTGGTTAATTTTGAATTCATTTTTGTTGATTCTGCAGCTTTCAAGAGTTTCTTTGAAAAGAAAGGGAGTCCAAATTATGAGCGATGCAAAAAGGTACCATCTCTTTTGATGGGTATATACCATCTAAAGCTAAAAGCTATTGGCTTGCACATGTGTATGGGCCAAAAATCTTATTGGTATTGGGCCTGACAAGGCCCAATAATGAAACAAATACTTTATGGCCCAATGTCTTAGCCCAACTTTGATTGGACCTACGCTTAAATCAACTTTGTAAACTGCCCACTCTATAAGTTGGGTTATCCTACAAGTTAAGCTAAATCAGGCTTCAACCTATTAGCCCACAACCGTCCATAAATAGGAACAAGAATCCTATCACCTTCATAATTCATTCAAGATCTAGTATCTTATACGAATTAATACTCTTGAACCAATAAAAACAAGAAATAAGAGTTTCTTCCTAATTGAGACTCATCTACTAAGTATGACTCAGAGTCCTACTAGAATTCTTACACCTTGGGTTCACTATAAAAATAGGGACAAACTCTCTCAATATTAATTCAAAAATAACCCGTAGCACCTAACTCTCAAAGTTCTTGTTCCCAATAACCACCGCACTATTCCGGTAATTTTTCTTATCCTCAGCCCTCACTAAATACCCTCAGCCTCGCTGACTTGAGTGTCGGAGTGTCTACGACAAACACCATACCGATGTTTTTCTAGTCTTCACTTTCTCTTTTCTTCTTTGTGCAGGTCCATCAGGTTGTCATTAGCTCTATTCTCATAGGATTCTCCAAATCGTCAATAGGTTTTACCGTCTACAACATGTTTCTTTATTTGTTTTATTTTTTGAAAGAATGACAGGACTTTCGCAAGCGTATGAAATCAGACAAGCAATATAGTTTGAGTAAATGGATGTTGAACCCTAGATAATCACTAGTTACCAAATAACAAAATAAACTATCCTATTACTATTTGACTAATTGAAACTTTAAAGAATGAATTAACTAAAACTAACAATTTAAAACAAACTAAAAACTAAAAAAAGCAGATTTCAAATAACATGTTGGTTGTAAGGCAATATGACTAAACCCAAGGTACAAATTTCATACCAATTTACTCATATGTATTGATAATTAATGCTAACATTAATTTAGCTTTTTCTAAGTACCAAATTCCATAAAATTCCAATAACAACAATTACCGAATTAACCCTTTATTACGAACCTGCCAAGGTATCCCTAAAATGAATTTATGTCTTAAGGGATTATCAAGCTTTATGGAATTTACAATAGTCACACAAATCGCGTTTACCTATCTCTAGTTTTTACTCAATCTATGGTTAGACTAATTAGATTTATTCTCGATCTCAACCTAGTTCATAAAATCATTCAACTTCAAATCCAAAAGAATTGAAGGCATTATGCACATTAATAAAACCTAGAAAAACAATGCTTAACAAAGATTAACAATAATCTATTAATACATATTCATAAATTGGGCTACATCTTAGCCCTAGAAAATAATATATAGTTCATAATTGTCATGAAAGAAACAACCATTGTAAAAATAACAAACATAGGTTCCAGAATAGATGTTAAGAATTGTTGTTTTGATCTCCAAATAGTGGCTAGTCTTCCCTTTATTATTCCTCTCCTTTAAAAAGTAGCCTCTATTTATAATACTAAGGTTTTAGGAGTGTGATTAGAATAATCCTATTCAAACTAGAATAAGAAAATTCTAATAAAAGCTTAATAGAAGTTGCCTAGAATTAGGACTCTAATTGTCATGTCATGGTGGAGAA